AGCTTCAGTGAGTTTTGGGGGGATATAATTCAATCCACTACATTCCACCCCTGGCCTCCCAAAACTCATGTCCTTTTCACACACAAATACATCCATTTCATCACCAAATCTCAACTTGTTTCAACTCAAAAGTCCAAAGTTCATAGTTCCATCTGTGAAATCAGTAGACGTTATCTACTTCCAAGATACAGTGATGGGACAAAGAATGTATATTCCCATTCAAAAAGGGAGAAGCAGGCCAAAAGAAAGGTGTAACAGGTCCTAAACAAGTTCAAAACCCAGCAGGGCAATCATCAAATCTTACAGCTGGCAAATCGTGTACCTTGACTCCATGTTCGGTGTCCTCTGCACACTGGTGTGGGGGTTGGGTCCCCAAGTCCTTGGCAGCTCCACTCCTATGGCTTTCCAGGTCTCAGGCCCCACTTAGCTCTCCCAGCTGGTGTTCCACTCTGGTAGCTCCCCAGGTCTGAGGTCACCATCCCACTCCTACAGCTTCACTAGGCATGGCGCTGATGGGGTTTTTCTGCTGCACCCCTGACCCCACCTTTCCACTTGGCATTGCTCTAGCGAAGACTATGCAGTGAATCTGCCCCTGCAACAGATCTCTTCCTGGGTCCCCAGGCTTCCCCATATATCCTTTGAAATTGGGGTGGAGGTTCCCACACCTTCCCAGCTCGGACATCCCACAAGCCTGCAGACCTAACACCATGTGGACTCTGCCAAGGTTTCTGGCTTGTATTTTCCAAAGCTGTGCGTCCAGCCACACATAGGGTTAGTTTAGCCACAGCTGGGGTGCTGGTGTGGGGAGCAGCATCCAGAGGTGGCCCTGGGCAGCGAGCCCGTGTAGGGCACCGCAGGCCTGTTCCCCAAGACCATTTTGTCTCCCTAGGTCTTTGGGCCTGAAATGAAAGGGTTGCCCCCAGAGGCTTCTGCATTGTCTTCAGGGCTTTTTTCCCTTTCTCTTGATAATCCCATTATTTTGTACTAATCTTCTTAGCTAAAGGTCACTGGGCTGCACCATTGCAGAAACCCTATATCCAACTGCAGATTTTCATTATTAATTGAGTCCCAGCACAATTATAAACTATTGCTTCCTCGTCCACATGTCCTAATAATATAAATGATGGAAGTTGAAAATTGAATTATATTAGGAGACTAGCCAACATTTTATAGCAATAGCGTCATGTTCTAGTACTAACACTTTTAGTTTTTCAAGCCATATATTATTCCATAAACGGATTTAAGGTAGGTATGTTAAGAGATCATCAGCAGTGAGGGTCTGGACAATAGACAGTCCAGTGCTTGAAGTTGATTTGTAGCACAGCTTTATTCAACTTGAATTCTTCAGCAATCAAAGGGAGAGATGATTGATAATGATCTGAGAATGCTAGATCTTTTTAAAAATATGTTAAGATTTTTTGAATGATAGAGTTTTTGAATGAATCAGGATCAGTTAAGTATTCAGTTAGAGCCAGTTAAAGCAGGGAATCATAAAACATGTGGGTACTTTTTCCCATCAATTATTTGATATAGTGCTCAGGACTTTTCGTTGAGTATTTGTATGCTGATTGTAGTTCCCATTGTTTGGAATAAACTATACTTTCGTGCTTTGTGGTCTACAGAACTGAAACTGTTAATTGAAGAGTTGAGAAAAGCTCAGGTACTTGTAAGGCAAGTGAGGAATCCAAATGTTTAATGCTCCCTTTTCACATCTTTTGAAGTTTTCCTCTTCATACTTAATACAACAGCTTTTTTTTTTTTTTTCTTCTAGTCAGATCTTTCCAAGCATTCAGCTTTTGGTTTTATATCATTATTTTATCAGTTTACATAATAACTATGTTAGATTATTAGNACAAATACATCCATTTCATCACCAAATCTCAACTTGTTTCAACTCAAAAGTCCAAAGTTCACAGTTCCATCTGTGAAATCAGTAGACGTTATCTACTTCCAAGATACAGTGATGGGACAAAGAATGCATATTCCCATTCGAAAAGAGAGAAGCAGGCCAAAAGAAAGGTGTAACAGGTCCTAAACAAGTTCAAAACCCAGCAGGGCAAGCATCAAATCTTACAGCTGGCAAATCGTGTACCTTGACTCCATGTTCAGTGTCCTCTGCACACTGGTGTGGGGGTTGGGTCCCCAAGTCCTTGGCAGCTCCACTCCTATGGCTTTCCAGGTCTCAGGCCCCACTTAGCTCTCCCAGCTGGTGTTCCACTCTGGTAGCTCCCCAGGTCTGAGGTCACCATCCCACTCCTACAGCTTCACTAGGCATGGCACTGATGGGGTTTCTCAGCTGCACCCCTGACCCCACCTTTCCACTTGGCATTGCTCTAGCGAAGACTATGCAGTGAATCTGCACCTGCAACAGATCTCTTCCTGGGTCCCCAGGCTTTCCCATATATCCTTTGAAATTGGGGTGGAGGTTCCCACGCCTTCCCAGCTCGGACATCCCACAAGCCTGCAGACCTAACACCATGTGGACTCTGCCAAGGTTTCTGGCTTGTATTTTCCAAAGCTGTGCGTCCAGCCGCACATGGGGTCAGTTTAGCCACAGCTGGGGTGCTGGTGTGGGGAGCAGCATCCAGAGGTGGCCCTGGGCAGCGAGCCCGTGTAGGGCACCGCAGGCCTGTTCCCCAAGACCATTTTGTCTCCCTAGGTCTTTGGGCCTGAAATGAAAGGGTT